CTGACATCAGTGTTTACACACAGAGGTTTGTCACAGTGAGCAGCAAGTTACACCACTCCACCACAGAAGTTCAATATTAAACAATCCACACACAGCATCAGAAAGTGTGACTCATGAATGTCCTCCAGTCACACCAGTTCTCAAAGTGGGAGGCATGGAGCAGGTTGCCAGCAACTGTGAGAGCACAGAGATCAATGGTTTGTACACGCGTATGCACATAAACAGCCTCAGTTTAAATAATTTTCCAGCATACATCTTTTGCAAGAAAATGCAATTACACAAATGCTCACTAAAAAAGAAAAAAAAAATTTAAAAATCGAGTGTTAGCTCAATACAAACTAAAAACCTCTCCAGCTTGCTGAATCAGTGCAAGCATCAAATGGTATCAGAAGTGATAGAGCTCTGATTCACATTTACAGAAAGAAAAGCTGCACTGCTTCAGCCCTTCCAGCATCCCACCATCTGTTTCAACCTTCTTCCAGAGCCACTCACCCTGCAAATAAGTTGACAGAAGAAAACATGACTGTGCCGGAGTCAACTCAGTTCAGTTGGCACCTTCACTTAAACCCATGTTTTATGGGAAGTTTAATTTGCCTGCTTGAGCTGAAGCAGCTCAGTCGCAGACATGCTCCTTCCTGCTACCTGCCCTGTAAGGCCCAAGAGGAAAGGCAGCACCCAGGGGCAACACAGCCGAGGTCATCAGCCACCACTCTGAAACTTGTGATCTTGTGCATCCACATGAGATTTGCCTTTTAACAATACATTTCTTTCACAAATCCTACTGTGTTAAACATGTCACTCAGCATCCATTTTGCTTTCCTGTAACCTACAGAAACAACATCCCAAACGACCATGATTATAATAGGTTCCTATTTCTTTTGAATATGCATAGCTAGCTAAGTGCAGTAAGTATGAAGTATGTTAGTTCTGCCTCTACTGCACAAATAAAGGACTTTATGCACATGTAAATACAATGGTTGAACTGGCTACACACATCAACAGATCTGCCCTTCAGTTACAGATGCTATCTTTACTCTGTGGAGAGTAAAGTTTTTTTGTTTTCTAAGCTTTAAATGCAGCTACCTTGATAAATGAGCGCTAAATAGTTTGGGAAAATATACACCTCTCTGTACTGATGCAAGGCAAAGGAAAAAACCAAAATGCAACACAAGGCCAAATTTACAAGAAAAAAAAGAAGAAACAACTAAATAACTCAAGGTTAGGGTTAGAAAAAAAGTTTCAAGGTAAAGTAAATACCCAAATTTTAAAGACAAATTCAGTTATTTGTGGTGTCTCATCTTGAGCAATTTAAAATAGGCATAGTTTTTAAAAACAACTCAGCACAACATCCCTCTTAGGACCCAAAAGTGCTTGCAATCATTCGCGTTACATTTAATAAACAAGTTACAGAAATAAAACTGCTTGTTATTTGCAATCTCTTCCTTGGAAAGGGAGGGAAGCAGGACTTATAAATATTTTAGCTGCTTGAAAACACATGGTTTCTTGTTTTTCTTCTAAGCAAATTCTGGCTTATCTCTTTGAAAATGAAAAAGAACAGTGAAATGATAAAAGGAAGAAGTGGTGATGCACTTCGAGTATATGAGAGATAAAGGTTAACAGAGAGAAAGGAATAAAACCAGCTGAAAGCAGGAGCTGGAGAAAAAAAAAGCACAAAAGCATACATATAAAGAAACAAAGATTACAAAGTCATGACTCAATGTCAAAAGGTATACAGGTCAAGATGCATGACACACCTTTGCTTTTGGACACATAGGATTTGCTGACTCTGAGAAATGTATTTCTTCCCTGAAGAGTATTCCAAAGCACATGAGATACACACCTGGATGCATGGATGTCAAGAGTAAAATAGAAGGGAGGGAAATCACACTGAAGGAACAAATGAAGCCAAAGTATAAAAGACAACTGTTTATGTTAGCATGATGCTTTCCAAGGAATTAGCTGTCAAAGTAATCTTTCCTACTTCCTCCCTTCCCAGCCTGTAACCGGGGAATGACTTGAACCACGAGTACACATTTTCAATATTTCAAAACCAAAGGGAACAAAATAATTTATTTCCACTGCAGCAAAAAAAAGAGCAAACATTTCCAAGAACATACAGGGTACTTTCCTCTTCAATTGCAGTTTGACCTTACGCTTCCGACACACATGGCAGATGTTCATTTAAAACCACTTCGCTCCACAGGTACACAAAGGATTGAAAGACATTTGTGTCATATTCAATAAATAGCTGGTTAATGAGGAATGCCATCATCAAATCAGCTAATAATGGCAGTGACACTTAACACTCAGGATGTTATCACTGATCAATAAATAGTAACTTCACAATCCTAGGAACAGACACAAGTAGAAACCACTTAAAAATAACACTTTTCAACAAGAGACTCCCCTCTTTTTTTAACATTAACAATCCTCTGCAGTTTAACCATTGCAGACATGCTGGACACCATTCCACAGCCTTTAGATTTGGGTTTTAATTAGCCTTCAGAGGATGAGTAATAATTTTTCAATGCAAGTGCTTTCTAAAGACCAAAGTCTACCTTATCATTATAAAAATGATCACCCTCTACTATGATTTTCCTTACGCGTGCAAGTGATACAAAATTACTCAAGACCAGTACACACACATATAATTTATACAGTTCCATTATAAGAAGCCGAAGATTTCTCCCTGCTTTAAGACTGCCAGTAAGGGTAAGCACCAACTATATATGAAAATCCTTGACTAAAAGTCTTGTCAATCACACTGCAAGTACTCTCAAATATGCAATGGAAATTGCAGAATTCAACTCTGGTAGAGCATGTAGCTCACAGTAGTGATGAAATCAGAAGGTGATGAACAGATAGCAGCTAATCCTGCTTTAAGTTCTAAATCATGCAGCTGCAAAGAAAATTTCTCTCTGAAAGATCAGAGTTAAAACATATAAATAAAGAGCAAATGGTGGCTTAATAAAACAGTTGTACAATCCTGATTATAAAACATTATGCTTTCAATCCTACATTTACATTCTGGTATTTGCAGGAAGTCCAGCTTCAGAGGCTGTGCTGAAGGTGATGAGACTGCACACAAACAGAAGTTTCATCCCACGTAGAAAAGCTTTCCAAAAGCTTAATCATGGCAAACAGAACAGAGTAGCACCCAGTCCTAATGCAATACTGGCATACTATTAGAGGTTACACCTTTAATACCCGTTTAAAACCAGGAAAGTAAACACACTTGCAGTGTGGATACCATCATCGCCTGTGTTATTTCAACTACTCAAATGATACTCAAGCCACTTCATAATGTCTGCAGAAGATTTACATTTAATAAACCCCTCTAAAGTTACCTGGAGCACACTAAGGACAATCCAACTGAGCTCACACATATATTTAGCCACTCATTACCTGCTGAGCATTTTTACCTTCTTTACTGCCACCACTATTGTTAAGATGATCTGCATTTAACAGGTACAATTTAGGGTTTGTTAATGTCCTAATCTTCTTGCTTGAAGACACCAAATAATGAATGACCTTTGGTTTTCAACTGTACTGCTTACCAAAACAATTGCTGGAGGCAGCATTGAAGCTTAGTTATAAATAATAGTCCTTATTGCAGAAAAAATGTAATTTGAAGATATTTTACTACCAAAAGTCAAACCACAATAATTGAAAGCAGGTAAAGGAGCACTAACCCTTTAAGATAACTCAATTATGCTTATAAGAAGTGTTTTAGCAGTGTGAACTTCTTTGTACTTGGTTCCTAAATAAAAGTAAATAAAAGTTACACAATATTGCTCACATCAAGTGCCTAATTCTTTACTGCCATGTGTAGTTAATTTAACTACTACAACATAAGAGCAAAAATCAGTATATTTGATTTGCTGTCACTGTGTGTTCACTTTATACAGTTGAAAAGGACTCCAGAGCTACTGAGAAAAAGAGCCCTAGAAGGACACCAGAAGCTTACTTAAAAAAAAAATACAGTTGAAACCTCCAAAACAAATGCAGCTTAAACTAAGACGAAACTCTCATATAAGTTATCACAAAGAGAAAGTAATGCTGTTACCTAGTGGTGGAAAGCTAGGTACATACAAAATTGTACAGCTCTTTTTTTTTTTCTCTTCACTTCAAAGTCTCATCTACAAGCTATTAAAATTATGTCAAGAGAAAAAAAATCATGCCAAATTACTAAACTAATGAAGAACTGCTTTTCTTGCATTCAGTTCTGTGACAAAGGGTCAGTATTTTTGCATGTGCCAGTTTTGATTCTCAGAGTAATTGACACATGAGGAGCCTCATCATTTCCTGGTCATCCCAAACCTGCTGTTTTACACACCTCTTTCAATGCCACTAAGAGCTGGAAACCTGTGGTATAAAAGCAACTTCAGTTCTCATTCGTTTTCCACAGAGTATGATAACCCAAACTGTACTGTGCACCCCTCAGCATCTTATCAGATGGTATTTTCAATTATATAAATCAGTATCGGTGGAATTCAGTCAGCATCCTCTCCTAAATAAAAACATTAATTTTGCTTTTAGCCAGAAACTAGAGGAGGAGAAGGAATATATGAAGACTTAGTCACTTACTCAAATGCAAAGAAGAGTCCACTGGTGACCAAGATGAGAACAAGAGTCAGGTAGAAGACTCCAGTCTGTCGAGCCATCATGATCCTCCCATTGCAGAAGAATTTGTTTCTTCCAGGAAAAACCTCCCATTTTCTCTTGGGAACTGATTTCTTTTTCTTATGGGGAGACTCCATGGGAGACGAAGAGCTGTGTGTGCTGATCTGACTGTATTCACAGTCTTTCATGGGCCCACTACCACCTCCAGGAGTCATCAAGAAAGAGTAAAATGTGGGGGGAACCCCACCAAAAATATATACAAATATATATGTGCAAATATTCTTCTGACCAAGAGAGCCCTCTCCACCAGCCCCAGTTAATAAAAAAGGCAAATAAAATGATGAAAAGTCTGCTACTGGACTAGCAATAAGTGTATCATGCAAACACCACTTAACTCTTCAGAAACCAAAGCTGTCACATCAGAAACGCTTGAGAGGGATCCTTCCTTCCTCCAACAGTTACAAAACAGCCACGTAGGACAATCCTTTTAAAAACAACTTATCACAAAACAGGACAAAAAGAAAAAAAAAAAAAGTAATTATAAATCAATTAGGTTTAAAAAAAAAAATCAAGTCTTTTCAAATCAAGTTTATTTTCAAATGGGAAGGTTTTTTCCTTCCCACGCACACCCTGAGAGTTTTCTCCGAGGGTCAGAAGGTTGGTCAAGGCAAGGTTTAGCAATCGAGTCTATCATTCATAGAGATTTGTTATAATCCTCCTTTGCGCAGCAGATTCCACTGCTAAAAATGACCATTCCTAAGACGTTCCCTCGAGAGACACGCAAAACAAATCATTAAGGGGGAGGGGAGGAAAAAAAAAAAAGAAAAATAAGAAAAAAAAAAAAGGCAAGAAAGGAACCAGGCTGCAACTCCAGCTTCCGAAGAACACTTGAAGCTCTCCTCTCTCCTCTTCCTGAAGCCGCAGTCCAGCGGGAAGCGGCCGCCGCTCCGCGCAGACCGAGGGGCGCAGGGCTCCCCTGTCACCACTCCACAGGAAGGGATTCTCCCGAGCCCGTGGCAGCCCGGGGCACGGCCGGTCGCCGACAGACACCAGCGCTTCGGGAGCAGGTCCTCCTCATCCTCCCTGCCTGCACGTCCCCCTACACAACAGGTCCCCGCCGCCGCCTCATGCTCCCCAGCGCCTCGGCCCCGCGGGAGGGAGGTTGGGAGGCAGGGGACGGGGAAGCTTCTCCGCCGCTAGATCTCTGCCAGGACTTCTCCCTCCCCGCACCATCCTCGCCGCCCGGCTCAGCGCCGCCGCGGCCGCTCGCACCCCGCCCCGCCGCAGGCTCTCGCCCACGGCCCGCGGCGGTGCCGGGGCCCCCCCCGCATCCCGCCCCCTCCCCCGGCGCGCAGGAGCGGCTCCCCGCCGGCGTCCCCGGCTTCGCTGTGCTCCGGCCCCGCAGCAAGGTGAGAAAAACGCCCGGCTTCCCCCTTCGCCAACCAGAGAGCGGCGACTTTCTCTTCACCCTTCTTTGCGAGCGTCTATCCAGGTTTCCCCCCGGCAGCCAGACCCCGAAGCAGCAGCTGCCACCACCTCTTCATTTTCAGGGGGAGGCGGTAACCACCGCAGCGCCGGCCGCCCGCCCGCCCGCCCGCGGGAGGAGCCGGCGGGGGACGGGACCACAGGGGCGCGCACCCTCCGCCGCTCCCGGCCGGCCGGTCACTCAGCCACAGGGCAGCACGTCCCTCGCGCCAACCGGCCCGGCCCGGCCCGGCCCTCTCCCCCGCCACCGGAGCGCGGTGACTGCACTAACTCTTCTCCATCGCCACCTCCCCGCAGGCAGCCTCCCCGCCGGCCGGGCTGGAAGCGCAGGGCGGCGAGCCGGGCAGCGGTGTCCGCCCTGGAGCCCCGCTCCCACTGCCACCGCCGCCGCCTCCCGCTCAGCCGAGCCGCCCCCGACCCACGCTCCGCTGAGCCGCGAGCGGTGTATGCCGTTAGCCCCGGGCGGCAGCCGCGTCCCGCCCCGCTGCCGCAACCGGGCCGAAGCGGGCGAGTCCCGCCAGCGAACGGTGGGCACGGAGAAGCCCCGCCCGCGCGGCCCGACCTAGCGGCAGCGGCCCCCGCCCCGTGCGGGCTCGGACACGGCGCCCGAGACACGCCCCTCCGCCCGCCGGGAGTTGTAGTTTCGCTCAGTTGTAGTTTTGCTGCCGGAGGCGGGACGGCGTCGCGCGGGACTACAAGTCCCAGCATGCCCTCCGAGCCGTCCCGGCGGGGCGGGGCAGGGCCGGGCCGGGCCGAGCCGAACTGAACAGAGCTGCGCTGCGCTGTCCCGGCGGTTCTCGACGGGCGGAGACTCTGCCCAGCCTGCACTGCATCCGTGCCCCGTGCACGGCCCCGCTTTTCCCTGGGTAGCCTCCGCGCCCTCCCCCGCCGCGGAGGATTGCGTCCGAGTTTGTCTCTCAGTCAGGCCGGAAGGCCGGCGCTGGAGCCCCTAATCCGTCCCGTCGGGAGCCGCGCCGTCCCCCCGCGTTCCGGGTCACCCGGTGCTGGGTGGTCGCTTCTGCCCCCCGCCCAAGTGCTCGGTGCAGCGGTGCGGGGCCAGCGTGCGGCTGTCCCCGCTCCTCGTGCGTGCCAGTGCTTCATGCTCTACTGGCGGCATCCACACGCTCCATCTGCTGCTGGAATCACGGAGCCAGCTAGGTTGGAAAAGGCCTTTGAGATCAGCATGCCCAGCGTATGAAGGAACACCATCTTGTCAACTGGACTATGGCATTAAGCGCCACACAGTCTTATTTTAAAAATAATTCCAGGCATGGTGACTACACCACCTCTGTGGGCAGTCCATTCCAATGTTCAGTCACCCTTCTTGTGAAGAACTTCTTCCAACCTGAACTTCTCTTGGGGCAGTTTAAGACTGTGTCCTCATGTCCTATGGCCGGTTGCCTGAGAGAAGAGACCAACCTCCATCTGGCTAGAGCCTCCTTTCAGGTTTTTGTAGGGAGTGATAAGGTTTTCCCTTGAGCCTCCTGTTTCCAGGCTAAACAACTCTAGCTCCCTCCGCCACTTCTCCTAGGACTTGTGTTCCAAACCTTCAAACAGCCTTGTTGCCCCTCTCCAGACACACTCCTGATCTCAGCATCCTTACTAAAGTGAGGGGCCCAGAACCGGACACAGGACTCAAGGTGCTTCCTCACCACTGCCAAGTACAGGGGAAGAATGACCTCCCTGTCCTGCTGGCTACACCATTCCTGATGTAGGCCAGGATGGCCATTGGTCTTCTTTTCCACGTGTGCACACTGCTGGAAGTACAAGATTTGTCCACCAACACTGACATGTTTGTACAGACCCTCACTGTGTCCTGACTTCACATCCCAGAAAGTACTGCACATGCCAGAAGGTATGAGCCACAAAGGGAAAGCTTTCCTATAAATGCCATCCTGCAGCAAGCCCTTCTCACGTGGGCACTGGTGGCAGGGGTGCCTGCAGAAAGCCCAGGGAAGCTTCCCTGGCAGAACCACTCTCAAAGCTACTTGCTGTTGTTTCTGCCTAGTATGTTCTCCATATGCATCCTAAGAAGAGCTATGAAGCTGGTGACAGGTCTGGGGCACCTTATGATGAGCAATTGAAGGAGCAGGGGTTGTTTAGCCTGGAGAAAAGGGGAAGAGTTCACTGCTCTCTATAGCTACCTGAAAGGAGGTTGTAGCCAGGTGGGGTTGGTCTCTTCTCCTAAGTAACAAGCGACAGGACAAAAGGAAATGGCCTTAAGTTGTGCCAGGGAAGGTTTAGACTGGATATTGGGAAAAAATTCTACATTAGGAGTATAGTCAAGCATTGCAACAGGCTGCTCAGGGAAGTGATGGAATCACCACGCCTGGACTTATTTAAAAGATTGTAGATGTGGTGCTTTGGGACATGGTGGATTTGGCAGTGCCAGGTTTACGCTGGACTCAATGATCATAAAGGTCTTTTCCAAACTAAATTATTCTGTAATTTTATGGTCTTCATTGGGTAAGTAGGCATAAAGCAGTGCTAACAAAGATTCATCTTGATTCATCTTTTACAGTTTTGCAATTTACTAGCAGAGCTGTGTAAGCTATAGAGAACAGACTAGTTTGGGATATGCAATAGGAATTAATACAGTTCAGAAAAACCAAAAGCTAACTGAGCAAACTTTTTTAAAAAGTTGAGAAAAAAAACTTTGATTACAATCACCTGCATCTCTCATGGCTGAATGTTGTCCTAGGAGAGACAGCAAAAACACGTAAGGATACAGCTGAGTTCTCAGGCAATGTGTTTTCTGTTTTCATAATTTGATTTTGAATTTTGAAATGGAATATTTATCCCTTTAATACAATAAGCTAAGTCTTTATCCGTAAACAGTGCCTGATAACAAAGGGACTGTGGAACATACTGGTATATGTGGAACATACCCATACCAGCAATAGATAACTTCCCCTTCCTTGAAGGAAATTAATTACTTTGATAACCAAATTACACGGAACAGCCTGGTAGACACTCTCCTGTTGATTCTACAGTCCATTTTATTGATACACAGAAATAATTTTGGCAATGTTAATGACACATGGGAAAAATATAGGAGGGTGTCTCCCTCTGCAAGGTGTAAAGAAGTAGTCCTTTGGCAGCAGGAAGTAAAAATAGTTTCTGATATCATCTCTCATGAAAATGCATTGGCATCCTTTTCCCACACATATAATACATGCTGCTACGCTATTCCTTCCCATCTCCTCCTCCTCTTGTAGTTCCTGTTATCAACAGTTTGCCTGCAATCTCATAACTTAGATATCACAGCATTTCTTATTCTTTGAAATGCTCTTTATAAACAGCTAATAACCTTTCTTTCTTAATGAATACAGCACCTGTGTGTATTCAGAAGGCTGCTGACAGATTTTTTTTGGTTCACTGACAAGCATTTTTAGTCTTCATCAGGTTTCTGTTAGCATATTACTGGAGCTCTGTCTTCAGTGCTTTGACAATATTGATGACTGCATCATGTCAAATGGCACTGTTCTCCCCTGAGATTATGGAATATTTTAAACTTTCACAAACAGAGCTAATGGTTTTTGGAAAAATGTCATTGTTGGCTTATCTTCACAGGTAGCACTCAGGCTAATTTCAGAAACACTCTTCAAAAGTGAAACACTTGTAAACAATACCAGCACCTCATTCAAGCTGCTGTCTCATGCCACAGTCTTTCCCTGGGTTTTAAGGCATTGTAGTTGAGAAGTGAACCTCAGGCATATTAACTGAGAGAAATACATAGAGGAATTTGAGGAGTGCTGGGAAGAATATTTCTAAAAGTCAAACTCAGAGAACAAGCACACTTTTATTTTCAATAGTAAATCTATTTTGATTCTACCAGGATCATCTAGTCCTACACATTGTACTTTTCACTATAGCCTATTTTAGTCCCTAAAAATTTAGTCTCAGTACTAGTATTGCATTGGAATTTAAAGTGTTAATCATATTTTGCATCAATACCTCTTTGAAGTTTTTTTTAATACAATTTGAAAACTCCCCTACAAAAAGCACTAAATACAGTAATATTTCACACGATTCAACATTATCCCTCAAAGTATTTATTGTTTATTCACATTAATGAAAATTGGTTTGAGGCACTAAATAGTTGAAATCTTACTGTACGTAGGACAAATATTCTCCTTCCAAAAAAAACTTTGTAGGTCCATGTGTTGCAGTATGTACTCTTCTGATTTCTTAGCTGTGACTCAGGTTGATCTCATGCAAAAGATTAATATGATGCAGCAATGTTACCGAGCTTAAAAGAAACCAAGACTATCTTTCTGTTAGGCAAATACTAATGAAAAAGCTGTTGCTACTGCAAATTCCTGTCTCTTACCCTGTCTACAGTGTGGAGGTGTCACAAGGGCAAGTCTTGAAACAACAGGGAAGCTAATTTGCTCTGATGACATGTCACCTTAGATATATAGAATATCTGTTACCATGCTTCATGGCAGAATCTGCTTGAATGTGTTGGAAGCAGTATCAGGAAAAGTATTGAAGTGATTGAATAAACACAAACTAGCAAACTGCAGCATTTTGGACATAAGGTCTCTGTACACCATATATCCAACACTGCCAAATTGCTTTTTGCTTCCAGTCAAAAAAGGAGGCTTATATCAACAAATATCTAAAATACTTCAAGAGTCAAATATTTAACTGAAAGTCCTGCTATTCTTACAGGTAGAAAGTAATTTAGGCAGTGCTGTGGACATGTTTTCTAGGCACATTTTAGACACCTTTCACAATTCATTTTGAAAAATAAATGAAAAAAATTCAAACAAAGCAGCAATAATACCATTGCCATGCAAGACACTGTCAGTGTCTTTCACATTCTATACTTGCTGAATGCTACAATACATGCCGGTTTACAATGTTAAGAGCAAATAATCCTAAGAGTTTTCTACAATATACCTGTTTTTCTGACCAAATATTTCTCTCCCTTTTCTTTGCTGTTTTTCAGAAGTTACCTCTCCCTGCCACCATTTTAGAGTCTTACCAACTATTCATTTTGTGAAAATACTTAATTTCCTTGCAAAATGTTTTGTGCAAACTAGAAATATTACATTTCATAGGAGCTGGCAGGAATAGAGAGTGAGGATGCACATCAGAATCTCTCTAAAGAATTTTAAAAATAGGGATTTGTAGGTCCAAAAGCTGCTAATTGTCTCTTAAGTCTTGCTTTTGAAAGACCAAGACGACTGTCATTTATTGTACAGCCTTCTAACAAAGTGTAACATATATTACTTCTCTGCAGTGCATAAGTTTAGAAGGCAAGATGAGGTAAGAGAGCTTTTTCATTTTCTCCTTAAAATGCAATTAAAATCCAGAACTTTTTGGAATTGGCCATGCTTCCCTGATCAATGACTGTTTCCAAAGATGAAGGCAGACTGTCTCAAAATCTTACCATTTCAACTGAAAAAATAAAGATGAGCATTGCATGAAGTTGTCAGTGTGGTATTTTAAGTCTATTGAACATTTTGTCTTCCTCTAAACTGACTGAAGGGGAAAAAAATATATTTCATTCTGCGACACTGATACAGAGCATGAGCCAGCCAAAAGAAAGGGCCAAGAAAGTACAGTTACATGAGGAAAACCCCCACATTTTCCAGTGTTACCAGTCACATCAAAAGTTCCCTCACTAGAGCCAGGAAATAATTTTCCTTAGTCTTCCATCATGTGTTAGTAGAGTACACTGTACAAAGAGTGGAGTGAATTACATTGTTGTGAATTTTTTTGTTGCTTTGCTTCCCTGTGAAGTGCCTTGTAGAT